TAGTGATTTTACCCGCTCTGCACTATTGTGAATGTGTTTCCATAGTGTATGACCATTTTATAGCTCTGCGCGCGTATGACCAGAATTTCAGAATTTCAGAATTACAGAATTTCAGAATTTAATGACCTTGCTATGTATATCGAGATTAATCGATACACGAGTATGGTTATTCAGGGTACATTTTTGGTGTGATGTTTCAGTATTACATAGCTTATCAGATTTTAGAAATAGATTTTTCAGTATTTAGTTGATTCAGTTGAAAGAATGAAGATTTAATTTTAACGTATTGTGAAAGGAAATTTTTATTATATACTAGTATTTAGAAAGGTGTTATAAATGTTAAAGTATGACTTTTACAAATATCCACTCACTGAGTCGCTAGCTCATATTTTTGTCACCTCATTTCTTATCAGATAGAAGCTGCGTTGAGCCATATCAGAGCCTGTCGTTCGACGAGTTGAGCTTCATCGTGTCCTTGTTTGTATGTCTCATTTTGTTAATTCATACAACATATATTTTGGGGGTTAATGTATTTTGTATCAAAAATGTATTAAGTCTCATACCCATTGCATATTTTGTGTATGTTTTGAAATGGTAAATTTCTTTTTCAGTACAACTCCTTGAAGAATTAGTATTTTGAAGGGCTAGTGTACCCTATTTTAAAGTATGTGTATATGTTTGGGATTTTTGGTTTTATTCTCAGGTGGTTTTAGTCCATTTTTCAGAGGAAACTTTGCCGAAATTTTTATAAAATTATTACAGTCAAAGCATGTCAAGTTTGCCTTGGTGGTGGGTCCGGCATTTAGCTGGTATCTACCATCGGCGCACGACACGTGTCGGATCCATTAGGGTGATCGGGACGGGTCGTGTCATACCAGACTTCTTCAATGGCATAACACAATGTACCTTGACACTAACTCCTCTAATTCACTGTGTATTTTCTTTCCAGAAGTTTAAAAATTCATATTTAGCAAAGTTTGAGATATTTAGCCAAGATGAAAAAAAGATGAAAATTTACTAAATATTTAGTGGAAATAGTTTGAAATTCATAGTTTAAAATATTTCAAATGGAAACTTTGCTAAAATATAAATATAGCAAGGTTTGAAATATTTATCCAGGAAAGATTGGTAAATATTTAGTGGAAATAGGTTGAAATTCGTATTTTGAAGTATCTCAAATGGAAACTTTACTGCAATATAAATTTAGCTAAGTTTGAAATATTTATCCACGAAATATTTCAAACTGTTCTAAATATTTAGTGTAAATAGTTTGAAATATCATATATGAAACCTTTGCTATGCTAAATATAGTTCTACAAACCGTAGGTTTTATTGTTTTAGAATTTGAAACACGGAGTAGTTATCAATACTCAAAGACATACAACTTGACTTTCGCCCAATTGAAAAATCAAAAAATAAAAATAAGAACTAACCAAAGAGTAGTAAAATTTAGCCAGTAATCAAGATTGATACAAGGCTCTTATTCCTGCAAGATCATATGCATGTGAAGTTCTTTTATCGTGAACATAATTGATAATAGGGCACAATATTTCTTCTTAAACACCTGAAAAGAGTCCTTAGATCATATGCATGTGAAGTTCTTTTATCGTGAACATAATTGATAATAGGGCACAATATTTCTTCTTAAACACCTGAAAAGAGTCCTTTCTCCTTCAGTTAGTGATAGTAATTCTTATTCAAACAACTTAGTGGTCTTCTGCGAGTGATACTTTCTCACCTTAGCAGATGCTTGTCACTTCTTGGTAACTCTTCATGTCGTAGGAATAGGACTTTTCCTAATCAATGAGCATTTATATATTTTTTTTTTTTTCTACGTAGAGGCAATTATACCTTAGCGATTGCTTTAAAGGGCATGTAATGTGCATAGCTTGTTCCATAAATACATGGTTCTACAAATATCATCTAACCTAATACCCACAACTTGAGGTTGAAAGTAACTAATTTGCCTATCCAACAGATCTAATAGCCAACACCTCTAACAACATATTTCAGGACAAAGTTAGGCATACATTTAAGAAGCACGTACACTTTTCAAACTTGACTTGTTATCGAACTTTATATGTTTGTTTAAATGGAATTTATTTTCAAGTAAATATATGTAGGTACATTGAATTTAAATTTGTAGCTATTTTTAATGTAACTGCAGATATGTTACTATAATGTTTAGATGGTTAAATGTGCATTTATCGAATCATAAATGCATTCTATAAATTTACGATTATTCTACTTTTCAAGATGGGTTATTGGCATTTGGCAGCAGTTGGACAAATTTGATCACAACCATCCTAAAGGTATTAGAATGAAACGAGTGCAAACATGGGCGTTGCCAATGGTTTATTATAATGATAGCAAGCATAACATGGTTCCGGGCTCAATGTCTTGGTCGAACTTGATGAGAAAAATTGTCCCAAGACTCACTACATCAAATGCCTTTTGCGGCATTGATTTACTGCATTCATGTACAGCATGTCGTTAAAATAGACATTTACGACATTCTTTAAATATATGCCATAAATGTTTAATTAATTAAAGTATTTACGACATATATTTTGACAAGTCGTAAAAAGTAAACTTTGTTGTAGTGTACAAAGTCTAGGATGGCTCGAGTATTATGACAGACCTGGCCAATTAGCCTGGCTGATCGCCCCATTTTCATGGAACCATCAATCAGATCGTGGCTATAGAGAATTATTGATTTATCAGAAAAGCATGACGAAAAAATATACACGCTATTCCGATTGTGACCTGATCATTCATTGCAACATTAATCATATCAACCATATTATGACTAGCACTTGCTGTACATTCCGCCGTCGTCCGGCTGAAAAGTACTGGGAAGAGCCCCATTATGACCGTCGAATGGATATCGATCCCGACGATTACTCAAAACGAAGAAATATTTATTTCTTGCAGCTTCCGTTACAATATCGTCTATAATAGTTTACGGGTTCAATACCATTCGAGGTAAATCCTTTCGAAATTTTACAGACAAGTAAGATGTGATCCCAATTGGTGTTCGTTAAAAAGAAAGTGTACAGTGAAGTGATTAGTGAAGGGGCTGTTGCAGGGTACATTTTGTTAATGCCATTCTTTTCAATAATATAACACTTGAAGACACGATTTCTAAAAATTATAATTAATATTTATAAAAAAGATATTTAATTTTAGTTGAAACCCTGATGGATCAAATCAAAACAATTTTGACCAGGATTCATAATCGCAATCCTTAGGTTAATTATGTGCTAATCAAGTTTTACGTGGCCCAAGTAACATAAAAATTAAAATAATGAGAGAAATAAGAAGAAAATTGAGTATAACCTCCAAGAAGGAAACTCCCTCTAGTGTTATAGTTGGGGGTGCGTGGGGGGTTGAGTTTTTGTTCTTTTTCTATTCTTTTTTTTTTTCATTTTAATTTCTTTTCCCATAAAAAAACTATTATAAGGCAGTTGACATTGATAAAATTGGAAAAAGAGTTCCAAGGAAAGGTATAATCATTAAAAAATAACAAATTCCATTAAGCTGTATCAAACTCACAGTTTATAGATTCTTCCATTTTTTCTTATGCTTCTTCCTTCTTTTCTTAGCCATACACTCTATAAGTCGCAATATCACACAAAACGACCAAATAAGCAGCTTAAGGACATCAAAATTTGAGTTTCTCCAAAACTCATGAGGTTCTCTAAAGGGTGACGACTTTAAGGACTACCTCAATCGATTCAGTTGTCTCAAGACTCTTCATCCTAACATGGACAATTTCGACAGTGAATTAAAGTTTGTGATCAAGACTTACCAACTCAATCAAGACCTTGGTGTCACTAGAATTTTAGATTTTCGTACAGTTGTCAAAAATGATGATGCCTTGATGTGGGGTACTAGACTTCCTTAATGGCATAACGCATTGTACTTGACACCAACTCCTCCAATTCACTGTGTATTTTTTTTTTTCAAAGTTTGAAATTCATGTTTAGCGAAGTTTGAGATATTTAGCCAAGATGAAATACACGTGGAAAGTTTGAGAATATCTCTAACATGTGTTGTGTAGTATATTTTTCAAGTGAAGAGGTTTATTCAACTCTGATTACAGTTAATTAAAGTCGAGATACAGATGAGAATAAATTATTGAAAGCTAGTTTCACAAACCTATGCTATTCTCTTATTGATTTGATTTGTTTCAATTAATTGTATTATTTCTTTGTGCAATAAGTTGATGAGATTGACGTATAATAGTGTTCATTTAAGATTTGGTCTTCTTGTCCTAGGAATAGAACTTTCTCCTCATCAATGAGCATTTATATTTTTCTACGTAGAGGCAATTATATCTTAACGATAGCTTTAAAGGACATGTAATGCGTGCATAGGTTGTTCCTCAAATACACGGTTCTACAAATATTTCCTAACATAATACTCACAATTAAAGGTTGAAAGTAACTAAGTCGCCTATCTAACAAATCTACGAATAGCCAACGCTTTCACATTGAAGTTAGGCATACCTATAAGAAGCATGTACGCTTTTTAAACTATGATGTTTTGTTGGTTGAATGTATGTGCATCGAATCATAAAAGCGTTCTATAAATTTACAATTCTTTTGACTTTTCAAGATGGGTTATTGGCATTTGGCAGCAGTTCGACAAATTGGATCACAACCATCCCAAAGTTATTAGAATGAAACATAAGCTTTGCCAATGGTTTATTATAATGACAGCAAGCATAACATGGTTTCGGGCTCAATTTCTTGGTTGACCTTGATGAGAAAAATTGTCCCGAGACATGCACACAGCCTAGGATGGCTCGAGTATTGTGACAGACAGACCTGGCTAATTAGCCTGGCCGATCGCCCCAATTTCATGAAACCATCAGCCATGCATGACTGTAGGTAAGTATTGATTTATCAGATAAGAATGACAAAAAATATAAATGTTATTCTAATTGTGACTTGATCATTCACTGCAATATCAATCATATTATGACAAGCACCCATTGTAGATTCGACCGTCGTCTGGCTGAAAAGAACAGGAAAGAGCTCCATTACGATCGTTGAAATGATATTGACCCCAATAATCACCCAAGAAAAATAATTTTTTATTTTTCCCAGCTTCCGTTAAAATATCGTCTACAATTTTACAGGTTCAATACCACTTCGACATAAATCCTTTAGGAATTATATAGACAAATAAGTTGTGATTCTAATGAATAACGTTATCTAATATTAGTGGCGTTAAAACATCAGTTTAGGTTAAGGCGGATTTAGAGGTGGGTTGAACTTGACTACAGCCCACTGTTGACCAGGCCCAACGCTTTAAAAAAAAATAAAATATATATATATATATATATATATATATATATATATATATATTGTGTGAATTGTAGTCTATTAGCCTACCAACAATAAAATTCAATGGGCTAGTCCACCTCAAATATTTATTTTATTTTATTTTTAGCCCACTAATTTATATAATTTTAGCCCGCTAATTTAACCCACTTATATGTATCAATTGATAATACCCATTTATCCCATTTCTTCCTATTTATTTATTAACATATAATCCCCTATTTTGCAAAACCAATTGAAATAATTCCCAATCAAATATGATTTTCTTGGTGATTGTTTAACACTAAACATTTAACGGGAATTTAGTATGAAAATCTAGATTCTATTATAAATGAATTTTATGTTGTAAAACATCGTCGAGTAAAACTACAATAGGTAATTTATATTATGAATTTTTCTAATTATATATAAATTTATTCGTACGTTAAATTATTAAAAAAAAAATTCCCAGTAACATTAATTACTGGCTCCGCCCCTGAGTTTAGGTGATTGCACTTATAAGTTCGATTAAACGAGTCATTTAACTTTGCATTTAAATAAATCTATCATTCATGTACACAATCCCAATCGGTGTTCGTTGGAAAGAAAGTGCACAACGAAGTAAGGGAGGAGTTGCACGCTACATTGTATTAATGCCCTCATTTTCAATAATGTAAAACTTGAAGACAGTATTTCTAAAAATTATAATTCATTTTTATAATATTGATATTCAACTTCAAGAAAGGATATTTAATTATAATCCAAACCCTAATGAACCAAATCAAAACAATTTTTTGACTGGGATTCATAATCGTAATCCTTAGACTAATGATGTGCTCATCAAGTTTTACAGGTCCTAGGTAACAAAAAATTTAAAAATAAAGAGAGAAACATTAAGAAATTTAGTATAATCTCCAACAAGGGAACTCCCTTCTAGCTCCTGGATATTATAGTTTTGAGGGGAAATTGACCCAATATACTACACATTCAGGCTCAAATTCAGATGGAACACGTGTCGACGCATGTTTAGACAGTTTAAACAATTAAATCAAAAACACCTAATCATTTTCTGACACATCAGTCCATCTCTTCCTTTCCTGTTTTTAAATCCGGACAAGTGGTTTTATTCAAAGGATAATTAGCACAAAACGTCCCTACCTTTCGATGTTTTTGTGGAAAACATCCCTACCTCTCATTTTTTTACGGATTACACCCTCACCTTTACTTTTTTTTTTCGCAAAATGCCCTTCTATTAACTCCCCGTTAAAATGTTCCATTAAATCAAAAGGTAATTATCACAAAAGGTCCCCTACCTTTCAATATTATTGTGCAAAACATCCCTACCTTTCATTTTTTGGCATATTTAGCACAAAAGATCCCTACCTTTCAATGTTATTGTGCAAACATCCCTACCTTTCATTTTTAGCATTTTCACCCCGACCTTTCACCTCTTATTGCAAAAAAGATCCTTCTCATCCATTTTTTCAATAAAATAACGATTTTACCCTCTTATTCAAATAAAACAAAAAGTAAAGATGCTGGGTTAGACTTCATAAATAAATACATCTTTTTCTCCTTCTTGCTGGAAGAATGGACTGTTAGCTTTCATCATCAGTATTCGTGGCAACAACGAAGTCATTTCATTTCATCCTGCTTGATATTAAAGATAAGTTTCCCATAAATTATGGGAAGGAAATGGTGAAGAACAAAGTATGTAAAAAAAAAAAAGACCAAAATTGGAGTAGTGCTGGTCTAGGCTAAACTTCTATCTTCTCTCAGCTAGTGCTAGAAGCAACTAATCTTTCGTAAAATAAGATGTAGCCATGATCTGTGTTACTAGAATACTCTTGTGTTGATCCAAAGAAAGTCTGAATCATGGATTCATCAATCATCTCCACATTTTCGTCATCAAAAAATAACCAGTGGTTGTGACTTTTCACGAGGCTGACATAGTGTCCGTGGTTGGGCCCACTCCCTACGTGGACTACTACGGCAAATAGGGAATACTCAGCATCTGCATCCTCGACCGTATTGCTCAGTTTCAACTCAAGGGGGAAGACAACACGATAAGATAGCTTCTTATGCCTGTTAAGCTGTTCAATGTACTTGAATCTCTTCAAATGGATAACCAGGACGTGAGGGGGTCTTTTTATCTTCATTCTCTTTTGGGCCTCTTGCAAACTGAATATTGAAACAATTTTAATGCGTAGTTATAGAGACAGTTGAAAAAGATTCAACACCATCTTCATTCCTTCTCTCTATAGACGAATACTAGGCATGTCTGTATTAAACCACTAGGCCAAATGGTTCTATCAATTTAGCTTTCAACAGTAAAACAGCACAGTAACGACAGGTCTACATTCCTATAATCCATCAAAATAATAACATGCTATAGGAGCCTTGGAAGGAATTCACAAGTATACTCAATAATACATCCTTGGATAACAATTCAATCCATTCATAATCTAAAATTATAAAAAAGTGAATTTGAATAAGAATGAAATGTGCCGTTATCCTCGGATATATTTTATGTTTTTCTTTTCTAATTTCAAGATAGGTTAAGTTTTGTGAACTTCAGGAGGTAACAAAAGAATTAGAGATAAATCAATCATATTACCCTCTCTTCTAACCAGAAAAATTAATTTATGATGAATTAAATCCTATCAACCACATAGCTTGACTCTGAACAGAAGCAATTGTCAGTATCGTGCCTCTTCCAAATGTGTGATACTAGTCCATCCAATAACAAGAAAATACAGGCAGTCTAAAAACGTAAACCATGCCATCCAAGTATAATGAAAATGCAACCTACCTGCAGCATTTATCACAAAAGAATTTGTCCTCCGCATTTAAAGTCTCAGTTGAGCTAAAATTTTTCAGACAGCTTGTAATTGAACTGTTCTGTTCAATATCAAGGCTCAAGTCAAGAAACGTTTCATCCCTTGCTGTCACTGTCTCACAACACAAGCACCTTGTTTCATTTGTCAATATACCCTGAAAATCACCCATAAACAATAATGAGACACCTGAAAAGTAGTGAACTAATGCCATTTAAAAATTCAATGCATTCCAAGAAGGTCCCAACTATTTGCTTGTTGCACACAAAAGCAGAACCAGTCAGAACTAATCATTGTCAGCCACCACTTTTAGCAACTGAGGCTAAAAGTAGTACTAGGAGTAAGAAAAAGAAGATAAAGGCCAGTAATTTGAACAAGCTCCATGCTTATCATCAGAATCATGCAGTCACACTTCTCATAGAAGTGTTTCCAACAACTCAACATAAAATGATTCTTGCATCAATAGGACCCCAAAAAAGAGGAGAAAAAATTGCAGTATCTCGCCCTTTCTTATGATAAACAGTGCCCAAAGAAAAAGAAGAGGAGTGGGAGAGAGGAGGAAGAAGATAAATAGGAAAACAAGGTCACCTGAAAATTTTTGTGCACCAAGGTGACCAGAGGCTCCTTTTGAGGACCTTTAGAAATACACCCATTAATAACCATTTCAGATGGAGATGAAGTTTGTTGATCGCTCTTAGCGACGCACACCTCCTTTTCTAGTATGTCAGCCAGTTCATTTAGCAAATAGTTCAGGAATTCATGGGCATCCTAGATAAGAAAGATACTAACAGCATTAGCAGATGTAAACAGTAAACATAGTTTTCAAAATACATGGAAAATGCAAAAAAGCATTAATAACTTTAAAAGCAGAAAACAGAGATGAAATGCATAAAAAATACATGGTATATACACATTCCAACTGTAACATTACTACATCCAACTGTTTCATAAGATTAAAGCAAAGGCTCACAAGGACAGACTTGATAGTGTACAATCATTAAGCATCATTGAACATATCAAGGATTCATGAGAATAAAGCATTGGTAAAAAATATGCAAGAACAGACATGACAGTGTATGAAAGTTAGGCATCTTATAACCAATTAAGGAACTTTGAAAGTGAACATTTTCAATTATTGAACATGCATTTACCTAATGCAACATCTGGCAACTACACCAACACACCCAATGAATTATGCCAAATGGACGATGCAATTAACAAAGAAATAGTGATTCTCATTCTAATTATATTCTTCAGATCCTGTCAATCTCTTCAAAGAATTATCACTCTCCCTCTAAATACTAAACACAAAGATACTCAAATTGCAAATATTGGAATTTATAGATGATAACTATGGAATGTGTTTGAATCCAAGTCAAAGTTTGTCCACCAGCGGCTCAATAGACCAGTTAGGCTTAAAGCTGCATGTAACTGAGCCATTTTCAACCTGTATGAAACCGCCACATGAGCCCATTTTCAACCCCTACAATTAACTATAACTCCCCTGAGAAGTAGGTTCAGGATTAGTTTGACAATTTAGGAATGAAACCAGTGTTGTTACCATCATTAATTCATGGTTATCCCCTTTTGGATAAGTTCATGAAATAATCAATGCTGGAAGGGTGGAGTTGAGAGGGGAAGGGAGCAAGAGCAAATGGCACACACAGAAAGAGCCAATGTAGAATGATACATCAAAAGCAGTAGTCAACACATAAATCAATCACCCCAAGGGGATAATTGTCCAGAAATGACAAAATAAAATTAATTGGCCACATACTCATGGTTCTAAATTAATTCATGATAATGATAGGAGTCTTAAAAAAAATAACGTGCCAAATCCAACAACTATTAGTGAAACAAAAATAAAGTGTATGAACAATGAGTTCAAAACATGCAAGTCATATTAAGCATTAGGTTAACCAAAACACGAACTTGACTGAGAGCTTGTATGGCTATGTATAGAAGTCACTTTTTCCAAAAAATAAGTTAAAACTTACTTTCTAGAAAAGCAAGTATTGTTCATGCAGAAAGTAATTTAAAATCATAATTGACAAAATGAGTAAGGCCACGTTTGATTGGCACAATTTCCATGAAATTTTCCACCAATTTTGTGTATTTGATAGCAAAAGTTTCCATGAAATTGGCTTTCCATCTTTCCCCCACACACTTGCATTTTCCATGATTTGGTGGAAAATCTATGATGCTCGGACTCGGATACGGGTATCGGGTACGGGTACGTATCTAAGTGTCGGATCTTTTATTTTTTTAAATACAGGATACGAGGACATGACTAAAAAAAGTCTAAATTTTGGACACGGGTACGTGTGTACGTCTTTGAAACTTCAATTTTTTTACTAACTCAAGATGTTATTTTGAATAAACTAGAATCAATTGTTCACAAAGAATGAAATAGTATTAAATAAGGGATTAAAACAAATAAAATTGAATTTTGGGGTTTAGTTTTCAATTATGAGAAGTTAGTTACTAAATGTTATATAAAATAGAAAATGAGAAACTTGATTGCAATTTGAATTTAGTGGAGCACTAAGTAGTATTATAAGGAACCCATTTTCATTTTATACAAACAAAACCCTAAACCACAAATACGGTGAGGGAAAAAAGAAAAAAACAGAGAAAAGAAAAGGGAAAGAAAGAAGAAGGGAAAATCTAGCGCCGTCGCCTTTCTCCCCCCTCTCGGAGGTGGCGCTAGATTTATAGAGAGTAGAAAAAAAAAAAAAGAGAGAGAGAAAGAAGCAATAAACGGCGAAGTGTCCGATTGAAATTTGGAGAATCCGACACATATCCCATACCCATATCCATGTCGTGTCGTATCCGACACGAGTACTCCAACTATTTTGAAGAATCCGAGCATCAGAGTGGAAAATCAATTCTCACCATTGGTTTTCCACCTTTATTTTTTTTAATTTTTGACAATGGGAACAAATTCTAGGAACAATTGTAAAAGATGGTATACCTTAAATTGACAATTTTCATGTAAACAAAGTCAAACGAAAACCAAAATATGGATTTTTTTGGATTTTTTTTTTTTTTTAAGCAATGGAAACAAATTCTAGAAACAATTATAGAAGTGAATATCCTTTAAATTGACAATTTTCATGAAAAATAAAGTCAAACGAACACCAAAAGACGCTTTTATTTTAACATTTTTCAGGTGAAAAATTATATCAATCAAACACTATTAATTGACAATTTTCACTAAAACAAATTCTAGACAATTCAATTCGTTTTTTTTTTTTCACAGAAATTCCATCTTTGCAATCAAGCGAACCCTAACTTAAATATGAGTTAAACTTACTTTAAGTTTACCTCGTTCCAGTAAACATAATACCCTTCAATGTGAAGGGTGGCTTCTAGCAATAAAAATGGTATAGATGATTGAATCAAAACCCACATTACTCATTAACAAAAATCCACACAATCAAGGCAGAATAATTAACAAATTTCATTTCCTCCCACAAAATTCTCTCAGAAGTCCATTTCTACAATAAGATAAATTTAGCATAAAACAAAAAATACACTTCCTTCTCTTCTTATTTATCAAACTGCCTATCAGAAGAAAAAGTTTAAGAGAGGACGCTAAATGCATTCATGGTTGATATCTTACCATCACAATTTCAAGTCTCAACTTTACCGTCCACTTCTAGGATATGTTTTCAAATGAGTTTGAATATGTGACCATTGCTTCTCCTCAATTCTATATCTATCTTTGAGTGGAAATTTTGGAATCTAAATGTGAGTCTTTTCAGTTTTGGGTGGTGACATTTTCACGAGGCATCCAGAAAAGGAAAATGTGTGAAATAATATGAGGGTAAATAGATGAAAATGCTAAGAAGATGAAAATCTACCTATGTAAGGAGTTAAATCATACCATAGACAGAAATTCTATGAAGATGAAAAATTGTATATCTAGCCACAAGCATAAGAGGTGTTTGCATGCGGAGCATGGACTCTTAACATAAAAACCATTGCAGATATCATGTCATGACATTGTCCTGTAAAAAGTGTGCATGTGTCAGATAAGAGGAAGAATGTCAGTTAATAAAGCTTTAATTGCAACTGGATGCCCATGGGGACATATCTACAGGAAGAATGAATTGGCCACAATATGATTGAGTTCCCCAAAGAAATATTTATTCTGCCAGAAATTATAATTCACAAAACTTCAACCTTTAACTGCTTTCACAGATTTCTGAATTCATCCAAGAATGGAAGCATCCACACATATCACTAGTCTACAATGTAATGTACTCGTTAACACGACTTGGTAGATGTCCACATAATTCAAATATGGCAGGCAGGGTCCATATTTTGCTTTTTATTCTTTTAAGCAAAAAGTCAAGGCCTTAGCATATTTGTACATCTCTTTTCAGATCAGAGCGACTAAAGCATACCTGATGCATAAAGCTGCGGAAAACTTCATTTTGCCTCTTCAATCTCTGGACGAAACGCTTTGGAGGAATGACACCAGTTTTTTTCTTTTGCGAGCTTATCTACATGGAAATCAAGTATAAGCCCAGGAAATACAGTAGATATTTAGAGGGGAGTTTACTGACTTAAGTTGGACCGTACACGTCTCATAAAGTAGTACTAGATTAGCATGCACACAAATACTTCATGTAAATTGCATGTGTATGTAGGCACATGCTTTAGAGGAGAGGAGAGAGGGGAGAGAGAGGGTAAGTTGTTAACATTCAGAAAAAAGTCTTTAGACTCAATTCACACACACTCATCCCAACATAGATACATCTTGAACAGCTATATTTCCACTTATTGTTTTACAAAAGAATATTCATTTTGTCGAAAACAATTATGAATCTCATGGCTGTTCCATTTCATAGGTGATATTAAAGATCAGGATGGATAATCATCCGTGATTTCATTTCACAAATTGTGTACCATTGTCCCTAAATACTAGATATTAACCACCCAAGAGAGAGACCTTTTTTGGGCTCCATTTTAATGAGGGTTTGGAAAAAAATGAATTTTGAAATAGTAATTTTTTTAAAGAATATGTGGTTAAAAAGTAAGAAATAATTTTAGGTTCAAATGTAATATTATTTTATTGAAGAATGTATGATTAAAAATGAAGAAAGAGAAAAATATATTACATTAAAATGGTGCCAAAATAGGGGCATAGTTAAAAATAATAATAATAATTTCTGCTTAAAATCTCTTTAAAATGTTCTGATACTTCTTAGTATCTTCATTTTTCTTTTTCTAAAACATAGTAGATCAATTGTAATATTCAAATGAATACTACGACAAGAAGACAGAGGCACATGAAAGCTAAGAAGCACGGGTACGGATAGGTAATTCGGATACGATACAATACAGATACGTTGATACGATTTTTTGGAAAAAACTAGGATTCACCGATACGTATTATAATATTCAACCGAATTTTATTAATATAAAAAATATTAATAATAAAGCATGATAATAAAAATAAAATAAAATACTAAGGCACTTTATCTTAATCATAAATTGTTGAAACTTCATTTTCTTCAACATCATCAATGTCAATTTCTTCATTATCATTAAAGATAATACTCTCCAACTCTGACTCATCTAATGATAGATTAGCAATTTCAAGCAGTTTCCAACAATGTCCCACATTTTGGATTCTTCTTTTGAATAGAGATATAATTTTCTTGATAAAAGATGTAAATTGCTATTAATGAAAAGTAATTCTTCAGCTCGTTGTAGAGTTATTTTATTCCTTCTCGTAGAGTGCACAAAATAGTATGAACTCCAATTTCATTAAACACAAGAAGTTTCTAAACAATATTTCATAGTAAAGGTGCACGTGAACTATGAAGTATCAGATACATATCAAAAATCATATAAAAATATCAAATAAAAAAATAAGTATCGGATACGTATCGAAAATTTTAAAAAATATATAAAAATATAGAAAATAATTAAAAAACAAGTACCGGAGGGTATCGAAGAGTATTGGAGCTTGGATACGGGTATTTAATAAGTTCACAAGTATCGGTACTTCTAAGCATGCACACATCAAGCATAAAGAGCGGAAAAATTGGTTATAGTGGAGAAGTCGTAATGATTCAAAGTCTGACCAAGAAAATTCTCAATACAAATGGTCAAATAAAAGCTGCCTCAAGTATCTGTAGATTAGGACTATACTATCCAAAAAAAATTAGATACATTTCTCCCATGGGCATTGAGTTCCACTCATTGCCTGTTTACCAAAACAAACAATGTTACCAAACACATCAGCAAGCAATTAGACATTAATTTCATAAAGATGTACAATGCATATAGATGAAATTTTATTTCCATCTAAAAGAAAATAACTCAGCAACTACGGAAAACAAGACCCTGTAATCCTCAGTCAATACTACGAACTCACAAATCCTCTATATCAGACCAGTAAATCACTTTCCAAAATAATTTACAATATATAAGCCAAGGGGAAAAGGAAGAGATCATCATGTAAGCAGAGTAGAAGTTAGAACCACCTCTAGAAAAATCACCAATAATCTTGTTTTCACAGGATCATGCAACAGGATCTTCGTATCTTTCAGTTTCCAAATGGCAACAGTCACCAATGATATTGTTTTCACATTTGTCATGCAAACCTCACCTAATGAGTCTTTAAAAAAACCTGGCACTATTTAAACGCAGCCGGTTCCCTTGAGCCAGATTTCCGCATAACCTATCTCAATTTATACTGTGGAGAGAAGATTAAATAGACAATTCCTTTGCGTCCACACAGTAGGTCCAATGAATAACAACTTTTCGTTCTAGTACACACTTCCTAGTTCGTCTTTCATAAGGCTATTAACTCTGTATATTCTTCAACAAGACGAGATTATACGAGGGGAATAAGGACTACTCCGTCCTAAAATGAATGTCCACATTTCCTTTTGGATTTAGCAATCTGAGCTCCCAAATTGCCCAAGCCTTTGTGATGCGGTAATTTTGTGCCAATATTTGGAAATGCTAGTGACTTAGAAAGATAAACAGTATCAAACCAAATCATTATTTTCTTTACATTCTATCCTTTTGAATTTTACAAGGCCAAGATGTTTAGATGAAAATTAATCATAAAAATTAATAAATAATAATAATACTAGAGAAAAAATAAATAAATAAATAGCTTCAGCAAGACGAATGGTAGATTAGCCCCTTTTCTGCTGGGCGACGAATTGCTCCTGATTCCATTTAGCAAATCAGCGCCATGTACATACTAAGTGACATACCCAATTTAATATTCAATTCTAGAATAAACACTTCCTTATACTATCTTAAATTCGCACTAATCATATGTCAGAATCAAACAAAACAAGGACCCACATATCATCTTGCTTCATGCATCTAAGGGTATAATGGATGAACATCAAAAGGACAAAAAAATTTAACTAGGTCTAAACAATCATTTCAAGTCAAACCAAGATATCCAAATCGGTGGAGAATAAGCCAACACATCTACAATAGCAATTTCAAGACTAGTACATTATTATTTCCCAACTGGCATTACACACAGTAATTTATTTTAATTGTAAATTTATTTCATTAATACTGGATAAAATAGGTCAAGAATGGGAATATAAGATTGCAACTTAAGTATAGTTATTTTTTATTATGGCAATTTTAAACAAGTTTATAATTGACCCCGTTGTAAGTTTGCAGTAAAATAATTACAGGCACACGACATCAAGAAATATGAAACAAATTGTTATAGCTAAACCATTTGGTAAAAAACGTATTTAACAACCATCATTCCCTTAATTTTTTTTTATCCTCTAGCTTATTAAATACAGAAACTATACATCAATTGTAAAACAATCAACTATATGCCAAAAATATAAATGAAACACGACCATAAAGTACGTGTGTGAAAACATGTCTATCCAAAACTTTATCTGATTTCATTGTCTGCCAATTCAAAAGATAACTCACCAGTAAAAATAAATCTGCTAAGCATGTCAAGAGATTTTCTTCTGCATCAGAAGGAGTTTTGTTGTTGGCATAATATTCTAGCAACTGCTCACGAAATGGAACACAGAAATAAAGAGACTGCACAAAAAGGAGAAAAAGTTTGAATAAATTCTCAGAAGCATTGCATTTATCTTCAGCAGAAACGCTGTCCCACAGTGAAGGAAACACACCATGAAGGGTAGCAGTAATAAGATTAAGACACCCGAGATTAGTGTAGTTAAATTTACTGATGCATGAACCAGTATCTTAACTAAGGGAAGACTCAGTAGGTCAGGAATCATCATTTACATTACTCAAAACCAATGTTGCCAGTTTCAAGGACAAGAAGACTGGACAAATCCTTTCTTTCTGAGACAAATGGACCTGAAATTTTGTCCAGCCTAGTTCAGAACATGAGCTACACTATGCAGCTCATAGTAAACTTTATGTTATATAATATTTTCTGTATAACAGTCCGTTAGTGGAAGAATGAAAAGCAATCAGAGGATGTTTATGGTGCAGTCAAGGAAATCAATTCATCAGACAGTGTTGTTACTCACTACAAAAGTAAAACTCGATTATGGTAAAACTCGATTTCGAATCTATTGACCATTATAGGTCAAAGTTGTGGAGTAAAATTGGTAAATTGTATGCCTTTTCTAAAGGTTGTCTCTTGCTTACCCTATTTTCATTCTCCCTAAATTTAAAAGAAATTATTTTCTAATTTTAATGCTTGTCCATTTTTCTGTTCCCCAAGTTCCGATGATAACTCGTCTACACAAAGACAAATTAAAGGCTTCAAATTTTGATCCATTTACTAGGAAAACTATTCATTCAAATTCAATTCAACCCCACTAGAACCAGCCAAAGTGGCAAATGGACGCCATAATATGTTCATTTAAATGCGAAGTCAAATGATCAATTTAATTGGACATATCAAGTTTGGTCACCTGGACTAGTGTGCTAGGTCACCTAGACCAGTGCTCTGGCATATAAATAGCAAATATTGATTATAAACCAAAGTGAGAAACCACAATTCACAAAACATTAAATTCACATACAACCATTTATGAAAACATACACACATATTAAACCAAATAAAACTTCAAAAGAATCAACATTCAGAGTAAATCGGTGTCATGGAACCTGGAGGACGCTGTTACAATAGCAAGTGTTGCCGAAATTCTCAAGACCGAAATACCGTTCACCTTCGGGGAATTGGTCTCCCAATGCCTTCTCCAGTTTCGAGCCCGCTGCTCCCATCCCTCCCTCACTTCATCCGAACCTCGTTCCCCTTGTCTCTATATATGTATGTATCTATGTTTGAATTTTGCTGGAAAAACTAGGGTTTGTCCCGGAGAAAGAAGAGATAATGACGATGAATTTGCAGAGGAAACTTGAATTGAAATTGGAATGTTGATAGAAATAGAAAAAACAACAAAGGCTTTCAAGATGGAGAAGGAGACCAAAGATAGAAAGAGGAATTTCTCAAAAATGCTTTGGTAAGAAATAGTTTATTGCTTGGTACGGATTTCAAGACAATTAAAATTAATTTTTAATGGTTATTTAACTGTTTCGGTCGTTATTTTTGAATTCTTATTTGATAGGTAAAATCCACTTCGTTGAATTCTTCTTTAACGATTAAAAAATTAATTATCAAAATCTCGACTAAGCAAGCACTTAGATTTTTAACTTTTTATTTCTCAAATTATTCTTTTTCTAATATAATGGTCATCCTCTCTTTTAACTGGTTTAACATTAATAATTATTTTCTGACTCATTAAAATGGAGCTCAATCCTATCAAAATTGATTGCAACTGGTCAAATAAAGAAGGCAAATTTGATGACAGTTGACGAGGAGTGACGCAATTTGAAAAGAAATTCGGTATACACAGTCGAGGGTGGATTGGACTCGTTGTGCATGTTGAGGTTTGGCAAGATTGAGAGGTTGTGCACCTTAGGAGTTTGGGGTTGGGTCATGCGTTGAAGGAGACCGTGCAAGGTTTGGGTGAGAGATTTTTTTTTTTTTTTTTTTATATCAAGTTAAAACAATACAAACACGATGCAAAAAAAGGAGTGGTGTTTGCAAAGGACGGATATGCCGTGCACTAGCTGATTTGGAAGATTACGCACGAGTGAAGCTAGAGCAACTAGAGCTGGACAAAAATCTCAAATCGAACTCGACGGTTCTTCTCAAGTTAAATATTCGAACGAGTATTTGAATCAAGAACCGACGGGTGTGGTTCGGTTCTCGATTCTAGGCCAAGACCCGAAGAACCGAATTTTCGTAATTTTTTTAATTAATTTATTTTAAATAAGTAAAATTATTTTATTTTTTCTAAATAAATTTGTTAACTAGTTAATTTAGTTCAAACCACAAAATATGATTTTCCTATTTCTAATTTTCAGTTCAAATCGATTTAATCAAATTGACTTCAATTTTATTCAAATCTGTTATTCTACTGTAGTATCGTTTCTAACGGAGAAAATCGAATTAAAACTCTACAACATCTCTTATAATTATTTTGAACTCACTATCTTTCTCTTTCCGTGATTTTAATAATCAAATTTATGAAGAATTCAACAAAGAGAGACGTGAAACACATAAGATTGAACCACGTTATTTTATAAGAGCTAATATTGAATATATCATTAATTAAATTAACGTAACTTTGTATATATTAAAAAAATCTAATTATAATACGGAACCGAATGGAATCGAGTCGAACCGAACCGAACCGAATGGAACCGAACCCGAAAGGTTCCGTAATTAAATTTGGACTCGACGATTTCACTTACTAAATACCCGAAAATTTCGGGTCGGTTCGATTCTAACGAGAATCGAACCGAACCGGACCATATCCAGCCCTAAGAGCAACCTCGGGTTAGGGTAGGGTTGTGGTGAAAGGAGTAGCAGCAACGTGAGCATGTTTGATAGTAATTATGATAATTAATTTTTTAATTGTTAGAGAAAAAAATGTATCACATTTGTGAGTGAAAAAGTCAAAAATGATGGCTGAAATAGTGAAATAATGATTAAAATTTGATTTTTTGGGATGAAAATTTGTTATCAAACTGGCCATATATGATCATGAGAAGAAGATGAATAAATAATACTAGATATTTAAAAAAAAAATCAATTATTCTTCTCATTATTTTCCCACCACTTACTAGTATTTAGCGCATTTACCACCATCACCATGTGCATCTTACATCAAAATCACCTTTAAAACTAACACGTTAAAACGAAAACATTTGATCGCCACATATCCCACCTTCAATCTTTAAGATTTCTTCAAATTCATTGACATTCTCATTACCACAATGCAATAAAATAAGAAAGATGAAGTCCACTAGATTAAGGGGGTGTTTAAACCACATTATTTTGATAATAATGCATTCTTGAATAGTGTATTAATGAAAAATGTGTGGTTAAAAAATAAGGAAAAATTTTTTATCTGCGTGTAATATTATTTTATTGAAAAATGTGTGCTTGAAATGATGTCAAATCACTATTTAAGAATATATTTTTTTGAAATAATGTGGCTCAATAGACCCTAAATTCGATCGATGAGATTAATAAATATAGGATCTCGAGGCAAGATTAAACAAATCATCTCCCTAGATCTAGATGCAAAATTGAGGATATGCCTCATCGAAACAATGTAACACAACAAATTTTGAATTCAAGACTACATTTGAATAAGGAAAAACACCACGTCTTTAATTAATTTTTACAAATTGATTAACAAAATTTCAAATGTACTAATATAAAATTTCAATCACAAATGATATATAGTCCAAGTAGTTTGATTATTCTAGTATTTCAACTATTTTGGCAACATTTTAATACCTTGACACCAAATTGTACGAAAACGAATTCAAGTTTACACCAACAACGTACTAGAAGTCATCTTACTTAACTCAATTAAATCAAATATAGTGCTACATATTTAATATTTGTATTATTTCTACTAACAACTAAATTATATTCATTTCTGAGATATGGTTAAGTTATATTTCACTGGTAAATAAAAGCAAAGATCTCAAGTGTTGTATATGTTACTAATTGCACGGGCAGGATTTAGCGTTTTTAATGTTGATTTGAGTTTAGTGTTTAAAGAAGAAGCAAATCAATTAATTTAAAATAATCATTTGAAATAAGCTATTTGTGATATTAATTTTGAAATTGAATGATTCAATATAGTAACAACAAAAATGAACAGTTCAGCTTTGTGCAAAGAAAATCAATGATTTCCACCAATAGAAAAAATTGAAATAATTTTAAATCAAACAAATTTATATTGAAAAAATTTTGAATAAAAAAAAATTCTCCTTTGAAGGAGAGAAAAGTAGTAATTGAAAAAATTAAATTCAATAAATAGAGAAAAGAATTTTAAAAAATTTAAATAGAAAAAAAATTATCTATAATACGAACAAAAAAATTTAAGAAATAAATTAATTGGTAATTTTCACCAATAGAAAAATTGAAATAATTTTACATTGAACAAATTTTAATTGACAAAATTTTTAATGGAAAAAAAATTTGTCATTTGAAGGAGAGAAAAACAGTAATTAAAAAAATTAAGTTTGGTGAGAAAAGAATTTGAAAAAATTTAAATGGCATAAAATTTATCTATAATATAAACAAAAAAAAAATTTAAAAATAAATAAATAAAATAAAATTTCCATCCATTGGTTTCTCTCCTTTCACGGATGGAGAGATTCTCTCCGTCCACGGAGAATATTTTTTTCCTTATTTTTTATTTAAATTTGTTTTATTCATATTCTAAAAAAATTTATTTTGAATTTACAATTCTTTTTAATTCTTTTTTCTTTGTGATAAAATTTTTTTTTTTCAATTTTAGTTAAATAATATTAATATATTCTTTGTTTCATTTTTGTAATTTTAATTTGTTTAATTTTTTTGTTTAATTACATAATATTTTTAAGTTTGTTTTGTTCATATTATAAATTTCTTTTTCTTTTTAATTCTTTTCTCTTTATAGGCTGAGTACATTTTCTCTTCTTAAAGGAACTACAAATTGGTGATACATGCGCCTTTGAAATACTGAACAAATCAACAATCCTTTTTACAAATGTAAACAACAATAGAACTGTAAACACTACTAACTGGACCAAAAACACTCCAAACATACCAAAAACAAACTCTCGTAAGCTTCATTAAATATAAAAAACAATAATCGAAAAATTTATGCTTCTTAAGTAAATAAGGATAAAGAAAGAAAGACCTAGGTAACATTTACACACTCAATAAAAAAAAACATATATTACATTAAATAAAGCCGAAGAAAATAAGAAATAAATCCACAAGAAAGCAAACATCCAACAAAAACATAAACTTCATAGCCGTATCAAAAAATAAAATAAAACTCCAGTTATATTTTTACGCATATACAGAGATAAGAACATACCTCTCATTTAAGTAGAGGAAGATGAGACAAGCTAGATTTTTATCTATACACAGAAATAAAAATTACATACCTTAAATAAATCTTAAGAAACTAAAAAACGAAAATACAAAAATAAATAAATAAATAATTGCAAGAACATACCCAAAGATAATCGTAACAAATTCTATGGTTTTCTTCCCTACGATTGAGATGACGATTGTGAGATGTTTTTTCCCCACAAAACGAAACAACAATTTTTGGAGAGTTTTTTTTTTCGTACATGAAAGCTGGACTTTTGGACAGAAATCAATTGAATTAAAGGAGGGAAAATGAGTGACTTGAACTAGTGATAATTGGTAGATTACTTTATATTTTTTTATAATATAATAAAAAAATCAAACAACTTTAACCAAACTCATTTCAAATCAGTTGAATGTGAAAACGCATATGAGAAAAATAAACAGTCCAGCTTTGTGTAAAAAAAAAAAAAAGTAATTTCCACTTTCATCAATAGAAAAAAATTTAAATATAAAAAAAATTAATATTGAAAAAATTTTAAATAGGAAAAAAATCTCCTTTCACGTAGAGAAAAAAAATAATTGAAAAAATTAAGTTCAATCATAAATAAAGAAAACCTCAATAAAAAGATTACTATAAAAAAAATAAAAAAAATAAAAAAAGGACTCCATGCACAGAATATCTAATTTTAAAAAATTAAATATATTTAAATATTTACTTAAAAATGTTGAAGTTAATATTTTTTTTATCTATAAGTAGCTTTTACAATTATAGTTTTTTTTTATTACTTTTAAATAATTTGAAGTGATTTTTTTACTTATAAGTAACTTTTTACATTCTAGATGATGTAATCTGCGTATTAATGTTTAATTGAAAAAAACTAAATATATCTAAATACTTATATACTTAAAAAAATTTTAAGTTAATATTTTTTACTTATAAGTAGCTTTTGCAATTATAAGAGAATGATGGATTAATATTTTTTACTTATAAGTAGCTTTTACAAAAAAAAATTACACTATCTAGAATGTAAAAAGTTGCTTATAAGTAAAAAAAAGCACTTCAAGTTATTTAAAAGTAATAAAAAAATTATAATTGTAAAAGCTACTTATAGGTAAAAAAAAATATTAATCACTCCTTCTCTTATAATTGCAAAAGCTATCTATAAGTAAAAAAAATTATTAACTTAAAATTTTTTAAGTACAAATATTTAGATATATTTAGTTTTTTAAATTAAATATTAATAAAAAGATTTCACTATCTAGAATGTAAAAAGTTACTTATAAGTAAAAAAATCACTTCAAACTATTTAAAAATAAAAAAAAATCTATAATTGTAAAAGCTACTTATAGATAAAAAAAAATATTAAATTAAAATTTTTTAAGTAAATATTTAAATATGTTTAATTTTTTTAAAATTAAATATTAATAAAAGAATTACTATAAATAAATTTTTTTTAAAAGAAAGAAATAGGGGCTCCATGCACGGGGTGATAAACACTCCGTTATCTCTTCGTGCACGGAGCCCCCGTATATATATTTTTTAATTTTGTTTATAGTAATTTTTTTATTAATATTTAATTTAAAATTTTTAATATATTTAAATATTTTCTTAAAAATGTTGAAGGTAATATTTTTTTATCTATGAGTAGCTTTTAAAATTATAGGTTTTTTTAATTACTTTTAAATAACTTGAAGTGATTTTTTTTTATTTGTAAGTAATTTTTTACATTCTAGATATCTTTTTATTAATATTTAATTTAAAAAATTTAATATATCTAAATATTTACACTTAAAAGAATTTTAAGTTAATATTTTTTTACTTATAAATAGCTTTTGCAATTATAAGAGAATGAGGGATTAATATTTTTTTACCTATAAATAACTTTTATAATTATAAGTTTTTTTAATACTTTTAAATAACTCGAAATATTTTTTACTTATAAGTAGCTTTTACAATTATAAATTCATTTTACTTTTAAATAGCTTGAAGTGATCTTTTTAGTTATAAGTAATCTTTTTAGTTATAAGTAACTTTTTATATTTTAAAAATAAAGAATAACTTTTATATAAAAAATTATCTTTAAAAAATTATTACTAATAAAATATAGGATATGATCAATAGTTGATAGAGTGAGAAAATGGAGAAAGATTACTCTATGTCAGATTTAAAGCATGTAAGTTGCAGGTAAAATAGAAAACGACGTCGTTTCTACTCTACCAATTAAAAAAAAAAATTACAGTGTGACAAAATATCATTTAAAAAATATCACTATTCATAAAATTATAGAATATGATTGATAGTTGATAGTGTGAGAAAATGAAGAAAAATATTGCGTGTCAGATTCAAAGGAGCGTACCAGTTTCAAACCGATTTAATGTGACAATTAATGTGATAAAAATGAGTAGTAAACCTTACATTCTCTCCTTTAAGGTAAGGAGGGACTTCAACAATTTTATGTAAATATTTAGATATATTTAATTTTTTAAAATTAAATATTTATTAATAAAAAAATTACTATAAATAAGGGGGGAAAAATATCACCACTCCGTGCACGGAGTGAAATCACTCCATGCACAACTACTCCGTGCAAAAGGAGAGAACTCACGTTTTACTCTCCATTTGAAAAGAGAGACTATCTCTCTGTGGATGAAGATATTCTCTCCGTCCACAGAGAAATTTTTTATTTATTTTTATTTGTTATGGAGGGATAATTTTGTTCATATTATATTTCGATATAAAATTTTTTTTAATTCTTTTATGGTAAAATTTAATTTTTCAATTTTAATTAATTAAATAATATTTATATATTATTTATTTAATTTTGTAGCTTTCTTTTATTTTATTTGTTTAATTTGGTTTAATAAAATATTCTTTATGATACAGTGACATTCGTTAAATTTTAATTAAATAATATTTTTTAAAATATTATTTAATTAAAATTTATAATAAATTTGTTCTATTTTTGTCTGCAATTTCTTTTTTAATACTCTTTATATTTAATTTCATTTTTTCATTATATATTATATAGTACTGGCTTTAGTCAAGTGGAGTGATGTGTAAAAATGGAGAAATCAGTGAAACGGTGTGTGAAAATATTGAGATGGCGTGTGAAAAGAATGTTATAGTGTGATTGAATAGAATAATTTATTGTTGCCAAACCAATTTCAAACTAGTTTTCATGTGAAAACCTATGTGACAAAAATGAACAGTAAACATCGCATTCTCTCTTTTAAGATAGGGAGAGATGATGTTAATTGTTGATCTCTGAAAATGGCCAATAGGTATCATTAGGAGATAGTGCACATGTGGACCTATTTTTGTAGTATTTCTACTGTAAATAAGTTTGTGAAAGAAGAAGAAGATAGAGACAATATATTATGTTCTCTTGTCCATTCAAAGATCCATCATCTTCAATGATACAAAAATTGTCTATTTATAGTGATCTGGCCGACGTTGTCATCGTTAAATCCGAGCCATGTGGCTTGATCTGAGACTTTTGATGTCACATCAACTCTACTTCATATTAATTACATTGATAGACTTTTGACAAGAGATCAGCCACCTGCAAATCTAGGCTGACTTAATAAATGGGCACGTCGCATCAATTAATTCTGAAGATGTCCCAGCTGAACCTGCCAAGGGCCTCGGTTACTCCAAGGAGTTCGGCAACAAGAGACGAGTAGGGGTAGGACCACCTCGACTGATCTTAGTGTAACGACCTCGGTATTTAATCGTGACTACTCCAAATGTTGTAGTTCTTGGATAGCTTGGACGATTGCCACGTGTAAATACGGGAGATCCACGTGGCCATTCTGTATGACCAGTAACAATAGTCCCCCAAGTCTATGTATGACCATTCATGTGGTACATAGAGTTTATGACATTCTGAAGAAAAGAAATCCATGCGGTAATGTTAGTCCCCCAAGTCTAATTGTTTAAATATTAGCAAGAGAGTTTTAGCCTTGCCAAATGTGTACATCAATAGCCATCAGGATAGAGGCCGAGGCTCATGTGCTTTTTACATATAAGTGGCCTTTCGTTAATGTATATGGAGAACCGAAGTTATAAATGCCCACGTGGCCATTTTGTATGACCAATAACAATGGTCACCCAAGTCTATGTATGATCATTCATGTGGTACATAGAGGTTTATGACTTTCTGAAGAAAAGAAATCCATGCAGTAATGTTAGTCTCCCAAGTCTAATTGTTTAAATATTAGCATGAGAGTTTTAGCTCTACCAAATGTGTAAGTCAATAGCTATTGGGATAGAGGTCGAGGCTCATGTGCTTTTTACATATAAGTGGCCTTTCCTTAATGTATATGGAAAGCCGAAGTTATAAATGCCCAAGTTGTTAGATGTAAAATTCAAGGTGGTTTGTACCTTTGCCGAAGTGGTTAGAATGTCAACCGAAGTGGTATGATATGTGAGACGGTTCGGGTAGTTTGAATGTCTTTCGTCATTTATTATTATAGATTGGCACACTGTCGTTTGGCCTTCCCAAGGAGGACGGTGCCCCCTATTTTCAATGTGTTCCACGTGTTTTGACCTGGGCCGTGAAGCTGAAACATCATACTCATCGAATAGTCTACATGTGACCCGAATTTGGATGGTCCAAGTCTTTGAGATTTGACAGTTGAGAATGCATGCGTTCGCCTATAATCAAGTCTTGTATACGTTATTATGCTAATGGCACATTGTACATAATACTCTCTTATAATGCATATTTAGTATGTATTACTAGGCAAAATTAGACTATGCACTAAACGAAATTTTTATTTTTTTATTTTTCGATACTTTTAAATAAAAGGTTCAATCCCAAATTAAGCCCTTGTCTAGCATTCTCTATATACGGTGATTATGATGTCCTATTTCTGGATTTTATGAATGTTCTTTGTTCGATTTATCAAGATTTGTTGTCATATTGGATCAATATGATATCGTTATTCTAGTATTTTTTTTTCCAATTTATTGATTGTTTCAATGTTCTATTTTGTAGTTAAATTATGCCTCCACAAGACTCAGTTCTTGACTTCACGTTGGTTTGATATTCAAATTTCTTTACTGGCAAAATATAAAAGTTGCAACTATGGTCATTATTGAGAAAAAATTATGTTTTGAATAATAACCTTTTTAAGAACTTATAGTTAAAAGTATGAAAAAAGGTTTTAAATTTACATGAAAAATATTTATTACATGAACCTATGATTATAAATAAATACAAAAATTAAAAACGAAATCGTGCTACACATACATAATCATTTATATAATCGTTTACATCCCACTCATATCATCAAAGTGGAGACCACAGCTCGACATTATTAAATACACGTGAAACCCGAGTGTTTGTGAAGAGGGGGACACGCTTCAATAACCCCGTTCGATACATATGGCTTATTCCTTGAAAACGTGGACTAAGTGCAATAATAAAAAGTGAGGTGTGATTTTCCCAACTGTAAATTTTCAAATTTTCTTCTTTTCTTTTCTGAATCAGAGACACTTCTTTCAGGCATAAGCGAAATGGAAGAAAATATGTTTGGCTCAAAGGATTCAAACCCTAAAGCCACCGCTACCGCGGCTGACACCACCATCGATCCAACCCTCCAACGGAAGCATGCGGCAATGCTGGAACGCCTCTCCAATCGCCACCACTCACGGCTGGCCGGAAAATCCGACCCTGAGTCCACAAACCTTAATTCACCTCCCTCTTTCGAGTCTACCGAATCCTTCCTCTCAAAATTCTCTCAATCTAAGGTCTCCATTGAGTCCTGCCTCTCCCAGCTCCAACGACAAGAAGAAAACGGAATTCCTGGCTCCGATTCGAACCGAAAAACAGATACAGAGAAAATCTCTCTCTCAATTTCTGACCTAGAGAAGTTTGTTGCCGAGAATTCTTACTTCTTGCCATCCTACGAAGTTCGTACGTGCCTCAAAATCATTGCCGATCTCAAACAGTCCCTCGATGATGTCACCTCCCTCGTCATCCCCAAGAAAAAATTCTCCTTCAAAAATAAGCCTTCCAAAAAACCCGCTAATCCGGTTCAGGAAGATGCCGTCTCTGAGAGAAACCTGAATGCGGGAACGGAAGGTTTGGGATTTAAACGTTTGAGCCTGTCACCTGGGTTTAGGGATAAAGAGAAGGAGGTATTAGTCAAGGAATTTGATAAGAGTGCTACGCAGGGACAAAATGGGGAATTTACGTTATCGGGTTTGAGGGATTGTGAGGTGAGATTGAAGGGTTGTTTAAGGGCTCTGTTCATGGATAGATTGACAAATTGTAGGATTTATGTTGGGGCAGTGATGGGGTCAGTTTTGATAGAGGGCGTGGAGGGATGTGTTTTTATATTGGCTTCACATCAGATCAGGATTCATAATGCAAAAAATTGTGACTTTTATCTTCGAGTTAGGAGTAGACCCATAATTGAGGACTGCAATGGGGTTAGATTTGCGCCGTATTGTCTAAACTATGAAAGGATTGAGAAGGATCTTGAGGAGGCAAATCTTGGAGAGGAGACGGCTAACTGGGCAAATGTGGATGATTTTCGGTGGTTGAGGGCGGTGCAATCCCCGAACTGGTCCATTTTGCCAGAAAATGAGCGAATTCTGACGGTGGATATTTCGAATTCTTGAAAAGTGGATTGAGAGCCCTTTTTTAGCATAGACTAAGAGATTTGTGTTTCTGGATACATGCTTGATTTTGTAAAAGAGGTAACATTTTTGTTATATCTGTTATTTATTGCAAATGGGGAATTATTCAGAATTCATTTCTAAACAAAGTTGATTCCAAATTGGATTCGTTTGATACTTCATTGTTTATGTAATTTGATTGCGACAAATTTCCGATGCTTGATGTTTTTGCTATGTTGTTTCAATTATGTCTCTTTGTTCCTGTGCAGCTGCTAAACTTCTTTCATATTAATGCTTGAATATACATAACAGAGTTTACAGTCAGACTGTTCCCTCTACTTGTTTGTTCTCGAATAACCTTCATAGATTTAACTTTGTTTTGGAGCTTGAAATATTGTTAATTGTTAAAGACCCATGCCTTCAGACGTGCTTCTTACTTTGAATTTACTTGGTTTGGGCAAATAAGATGATCATATTAGGAATACATAAGAGATGCTTTGGATTTGTGCACCTCAACCAGGTGGTTCAATTGGTGAACTGTTGAACCAGCTGGACTGGTCCTCTAATTGATTTGTTTATGACAATGACCTCATAGAACCCAGGTTGAAACCTTATGTATAGGCATGGTCTTGAATCTACAACCTAATGCATGCTAAAGGATCTCATCAGTCTTTATATGAACACCTCTCTACAAGCTACTGTCTGTATACATCAACTTTTGATGTGATGATCGTGTTAAACTAAGCACGAAGAAGGAAGAAATGCTGTTTGGAGGTACAAGTTTGTGTTTACAATGAATACACACTGCTTGTGATTGTGCTTTGGAAGCCTTGCTTATTGTGAAAGTGAATGTATTACGTCGTATCCACCTTCATAGTACAGTTTTCTGTTTTCTTCTTGCCATGCCTACCTGCTGTGATGCTCAAACTCGTAGAAGTGGTCAGAGTTTCCGTGTCGGCACGACACTACATGGGTATGGGTACTTCAACCGGACACTCAATTTATACAGGGGTTTATGTCTTCCGGCTGTTACATAATTTTTGTGATTTTAGTCAAATGAGATATTGTTTTCATTGCTACTAATGTTTTTCATCATGTTGATAGGTTAATAAAGTTAACAAAAAAAACCATATTAATGAAATTTGGATACTTTTTAGCCATATTCTCGTATTTTACATTTTAGAAAATAAAAGATTCAGACACTTACTTACGTACCCACAGCCGAGAGTGAGCATCATAACCTATCTGTAATTGAACTGGAATTTTTGCTGCTGACATTGGATTAGCTGCTGCGGCATGTGAAAACCTTATCCTATCCTGTTTAGTTTCTGGAATTTCATCTCTAATAGGGGGTTTCGATTCAAAGGTTAGAAAATGTGGTGCGGGTTCATCGCTCTCGACCATCCCTTTGACTTCTCCATGTTACAAGGAGTTGAGCTACTCTCGACCAGGGAGGGAATGAATTACCTCTCAACAATCTTGAATCGGATCAACATCATGAATAACAATATTTGAGCTATCAAATCAATTCATCGTTGAGACTTCAATGCTGACTTTGCGCATATTTATGGTGATATTGAACGATGTTTGGTGAAAATTGTTGTAGTTACTGAGTAAATTGTGCTGATATATGAAATTCGTTTTGGTTCAGATATAAATGCCATTTACACTTGGCTTAGGATAAAGGTCTTTAATGTTCTGTTGTTTCATTGAAATATGATACGAGTATTGTTATACTTTTGTGTAAATAAGAATATCCAACGTGGCGTATTTGTATTTTTATTTTCTTCTCCACAAATATAAATAGACACGAATTAATGAAGATCGAATGCATTCTTATTATGCTCCCTCGATATTTTTTGCAAACAGCTCTCTTTTTTGTGTAAAAATTTCATTTCAATATTCATGTTAAAGTTAGATTATAAAGGTTCGCTTGTTCCTAGGCTATTAATGTGCTGCTTCTGTGCGTATGAAGTTCTTTTTTTGGGGAGCTAATTACTCATAACAATCTTGCTACATGTATACTTTTGTTGACATTAAGTTTGACATTGTGCCACTTATTGCAGGACGAATGATCAGTTTTAAAATGAAAAACACTTTTCTGCCCATTCATTTTTAAATTTGCAAAAATTTGTAAACAATGTCAAACTTCATGTACAACATGTAGTGTATAAGGAGCATTATTCTTACTCATAATCTAGAGCACTAGACGAAACATAAGCCACAAGCTGTGCATAACGTTTTAAACTGTAGCCTTCAGCTTGTTCCATAGAGAAATCAACAGATAATGAATGTAAAGTTTACGAAGTTGTGCTATATTTCTTAACTACCTCCTTTCAGTGTTATTTTTTAGATTTTTCCGATATTGGATTGGGTTTAAGTTGAGGTTATTCAGTTCAAAAGATTATAATTTAGTTGGTTCAAAGTTTCAAACCCAACAATTACCCGATCCATTAAAATATGAACTGAGGGATCTTAAAATATAATTCCGTTGCCGGGACTTGAACCCGGGTCTCTCGGGTGAGAGCCGAGTATCCTAACCAACTAGACTACAACGGATTTTTGGTAAGGTTTTATATGAATATTTATTTAAACTAATTACTGATATTAATTATATACAACATGTGGATTATTTGATAAACTACCTTTCACCTTAATGTCAATCGAGATTTTGGTAAATAAACAATGTTGAGGTTAGCAAATCTTACTAACACCTTAGTATCTCTATCTTCAATTTCACAATTCATCACTTCGAGGGAGATCCAATTGCGCTCTCTTGTAATTACTTGGACGAATTACTTAAATTGACCAACTCCTAATTTTCGTGAAATTATTAATCCAAAATTTAAGAACTTCAAAATTTTCAAGTATTGTTGATTCAAGATCAATCAAATTTATTTACTTTTTTGAGGATTTTACGAAGGCAAATTCGTGAGGAAGTCCTTGGAATCCTTGAAAAAAATTTTAAGACCACATGAATCCATAGTAATTATCTTCTTTTCTTTCTACATTATGTGAATGATCGAGGATGCTGTGTCGATTCCGTTGAATGCGTAACTGACACTATACTATGAAAGTATTTGTGCATGCAAAATATCAAATGGTCCTCGAAATGAGTAATTAAGCAAAACCAAGTAAATCAAAAGGAAACATTATAAATAAAAGTCACAAAAATAGAGAGATAAATTTATTTCTTCTCATGAATATTTAAAAATATTCCACTGTAATTTATCAGGACAGTACACTACATAATCACAAATAGACAATGGATTTGAGTTGCCCTAAATTTACATTGTAGACAAGTTTGTGAATTTCTTAGGGACAGTCCAGACAGACACTTACTATAATTCAATGAATATAACATAGGAATCCAAATTAAAAATAAGGAGATATCTCGATTCATATACAATTCAAGAAGAGAATAACCATCTTCACGAATTTTGCATGAATAGTCTCCTTAATTAGAAGTAATGACCTTTTAAAGCAGTGACTCTAAATCTTTTAACCTGTTTGGAAAAATGAATTACTGGGACAACAATATGTTAGAAATATTCGAGAGTGTACATCAGTGTCTTACCTAACTTCGTTCAAGTCTGGGTAGACAGCTAATGCCTCTTTAAAATGGGTTGTGTTGCTCGTACATTGAGTCTTACACTTCGGTTGACACGAGCCCACCTTTCCTTTCACATGGGGAGGTCGGCCCCACACATTTAGGTGTGGACCCTGACCTCTTCTATGTGAGAGGTCAGGTGGGACCATGTCAACCGTAGTGTAAACCTCCAAGTATAAGTAGATTAATTCTCTTTAAAATCCTATATTAGAGTAGACAATGACCGAATTAGTCATTAATTGAGCTTGTGAAAATATAATAAAAAATTAATCAAGTTAGTGTTTCTTCATTTTGACCCGGCTTTATCCATTTTTTCGACCCATAGTGATTATCATCATCTATTGTCAGTATAACAAAAAAAAAAAGGGAGGCCTGACTTATTTCCAAAATTAGAGTTCGACCGCAGCATCTCCCAATTTATATTTTTTGTTTTTGTTTTTTTGATCAAATGCCAGACAAGTGCAAAAGTTTCCTAAACTGGGGGTTGCAAGAATTGAACTTATGACTTGCTATTCAGGTATGCTATTGAACCACCTCGTCTAAAAAACTTAAGTTGTTTGTTTAGACTTGAGTTTCAGTGTAGCACCCAAAGGGGGAGGAAAGAGAAAAACGCCATAATAAACCAACAAGTGGATATAAAAACATTTCATCCGATGAAGACATATTTTCTGAACCTTCTCTAAGTATCCTGAGGCCTAAAGCATTAGTAGCAAATATCCAAAAAGCATTATAGATTAAGCGCATTTACGAAATCAACCTGTAATCCCATCACACTGTCTTCTACTACCATACAATCCTTTGCTAACACTCCTAACCTCTGCGAAGCATAATATTTGACAGAGCACAGTTAAAATAAAGGGCAGAGTTAGATATCAAATGTTTACATCTAAGAAAGTGAGTGATACGTTGCTACTCTAATTACCTTCGCGGCTGTTGTATAAATCAGAGGATCATCGGGCTTCTTTTCTTTCACATCGTCGCCTGGAGAAGTAGAAGTAAATAAAATCGTTTATACAGCATTTTTTCATTATGAGCTTGATATGCAAGCAGTAGTTTTGTCTGTCAAAATAACATCAGGTAATTTTCTTATGTACACAAATCTGTCAGTCACTTCCAAAGGTAAAACAATATTCACAATTATCGGATTATCAATTTGTCCTGCAACTAATTTTTCATGGTATACTTCTGTTAGTTTTTGGAAAGTTCAAGCTGGCAATGATAATGTAATTATAATTATGTCTATAGCATAGGGGACATGATAGAAATCTGTTATATCATATGTACTGTTCGCTCTGGAAGAGTTTGAGCTCATCTTACTCCTCACAGATCTCTGTAACGTCCCCAAGATTCAAGCTTACGACATCTTCCTTAAGTGAGACTTAATGAAATCCTAGTACCAATTAGGCAACTTGCCCAATTACTACCAGGATTCAACTTAAGTGAGTGCAAATTTACTACATAAACCAGAGCCAACAGAGAAACCCAATTTTAACTACTACTACTTCCTGTCCTATATATATACAAATTCTATGCGGGTGTCAGCCAGCATATCTGTCATCATAGGTGG